AACTTAATCAATGAACCTGCCCAGGGATGACAGGTGGAAACATCACTGGTGCTAAAACCTGGAACAAACACGTCTCCTGTTCATGTTCATGTCACCTGACCCCTGACCCTGACCCCTGACACTGACCCTGACCCCTGACCCCTGACACTGACACTGACCCTGACCCCTGACCCCTGACCCTGACCCCTGACACTGACACTGACCCTGACCCCTGACCCCTGACCCTGACCCCTGACCCTGAGCCTGTGACTGTCCCTGTCTCTTTAAATAAACACATAAAATAAAGGACAGTGATTTCAGATTTTGTCCCAAACCATCTGCTCCTGAACTTTGACTAAACCAAGGACCTGGTGAAGACTCGAGGAGGAAGACGACACGAGTGAAGCCGACACCATCAGGACCTGAGGTGGAAAAAGAGACTGATACAAGGACCTGAGTGTCCAGGTGAATGACTGGACTTGACTGGAGGGACAACTGTAACACTGTGGACAAGAAGAGCATGAGGAGACTCAACTTCCTGAGAAAGCTCAGGTCTTCACTGTGCAGAAGGTTCTGGAGATGTTCTCCAGTCTGTGGAGGTCCCTGGACTTGGCTGTGGTCTGTGGCAGAGAAGCTCCAGGAAAAAGGGACACTGGGCGGAAAGACAAACTGATCCGTAAAGCTGGTCACATGAAGGACAGATAATACTCCTTACAGCTGTACAACAAGTCATTTTATTTTGACTTGTACATTTACATTTATATTATTATGCCGTATTTACTCCTGCCTCTTGGATTAGGGTTTCTGTTGTTTTTGCTGCTTGTTTAGATTTTTTTTAAATCACCATTTATATTTGGACTCTTATTATTTTATTTATTTTATATTATATATTATTTTATTTATTTTATTGTGATGTGAGACTCCTGTGTCCAGTAAAGTGTCTCAGTAAAGTTTGTGGAAGTGTTTTCAGTTTGGGAGAATCAGTGTAAATCTCCAGGGTTTGTGTTTAATCATGTGTGAATGAAACAAAAGCTGATGAGGAAACAACACGAGAACAGAACAGATGGGACATTTACAGTATGATGAAAATGTCCACAGAAAAACTTCTCTGATGTTTCAAAGAGAACGAGACCAAGTGTGGTCCAAGTGTGGTCCAAGTGTGGTCCAAGTGTGGTCCAAGTGTGGTCCAAGTGTGGTCCAAGTGTGGTCCAAGTGTGGTCCAAGTGTGGTCCATGAGCTGCACAAGAAACTGTCCGTGTCACACAGGTGCAAAAACACACAAACTCACAGAAACTCTTTTTACACCTGAGGTGCTCCTCTTCCTCTGACCTGCAGCTCCTCTGACCTGTGCTTTAAAATCTGAAAAGTCCAGACTCTGGACCATTGAAATCTCCCTTTAAACCCAAACTCTGTGTATCTGGATTCACACGAGCTCCGGTTCTGAAACCCAGAACCTGATTTTACTTTATTGACCAAGACTTAGTTTGGGTTTAGTCCTGGTTTAGTCCTGGTTTAGTCTTGGTTTAGCCCTGGTTTAGTCCTGGTTTAGTCCTGACTTACCCCAGGAGGACTTGGTCCGGCCCAGCACGGCTCCGGTTCTGGGGTTGTAGATAAAACTGCAGAAAGTCTCCTGTGATCTATCCTGGACCTGGTTCTGATGGGTCTGGTCCCTGGTCTGGTCCCTGGTCTGGTCTCTGGTCTGGGCTCCCGTCTGGACCCCGGGTGGGACTCTGGTCTGGATTTTCTCCTGGGTTTTAGCTCGAGCTGGTTTGGGCCTTTGGTTCTTTTGGTTCTTGTTGAGATCTTTGTTTTGCTGCTGGTTCACACTTAATTTGGTCTCGTTTTGATCCTGATTCAAACCCGGCTTGGTTTCATTTTGGTTCAGGTCTTGGTTCAGGGCTTGGTTCAGGTCTTGGTTCTGGTTGGTATGGGACATTTTGAATGTTTTTTTTAGACTCTGAAACAGTCCAACTGTAAAGGCTGGTTTAATCCCGGTTTGGTCCTGGTTTAATCCCGGTTTGGTCCTGGTTTAATCCCGGTTTGGTCCTGGTTTAATCCCGGTTTGGTCCTGGTTTAATCCCGGTTTGGTCCTGGTTTGGTCCTGCTCCTGGTTTAGACCTGGTAGCCATGGATTTCAGAATGATTAAAAAAGAACCGTTGCCATAGCAATGAACAATTTGAAATTTGAATATTTTACCTTTGGAATGTAAAAGTCCAAATGACAAAAACAGGAATCTGAAACAGAACAGAACTTTTAACTCAAGTTTTATACTGAAAAAAATGTCCTGGTTTAGTCCTGGTTCAGACCTGGTGTAGTCCTGGTTTAGTCCTTGTTCAGACCTGGTGTAGTCCTGGTTCAGATCTGGTGTAGTCCTGTTTTAGTCCTGGTGTAGTCCTGGTTTAGTTCTAGTTTAGTCCTGGTTCAGACCTGGTTCAGACCTGGTGTAGTCCTGGTGTAGTCCTGGTTTAGTCCTGGTTCAGACCTGGTGTAGTCCTGGTGTAGTCCTGGTGTAGTCCTGGTTTAGTTCTGGTTTAGTCCTGCTGTGTTGTGTGTGACTCAGTAAAGCTCCTCCTCTTGTCAGGGTTATTGTCCCACCCCTCCCCCCTGCCCCGGGTCTGTGCACGTGTGTGAGAGCGTGCACGTGTGTGAGAGCGTGCACGTGTGTGAGAGCGTGCACGTGTGTGAGAGCGTGCACGTGTGTGAGAGCGTGCACGTGCCGTGGCCTGAAATGTTGTGATGTGATGCTATAAATAGAACTCATTCTATGTGATTTACTTTGACTCTAGAACTGAGGCAGGTCTAGACCAGGTCCTGAACCAGGTCCTGAACCAGGTCTAGAGCAGGTCTTATTATTATTATTATTATTATTATTATTATTATTATTATTATTATTATTATTATTATCACACAACAGTATGTTTTAGATTACTTTGCACTTTGCTTCTTGTTTTCCCCATCTGTCCTCTCCCCTCCCCTTGTGAGCGCACACACACACACACACGAGCGCGCGCACACACACAGACGAGCGCGCACACACACACAGACGAGCGCGCACACACACACAGACGAGCGCGCACACACACACAGACGAGCGCGCACACAGACGAGCGCGCACACACACACAGACGAGCGCGCACACACACGAGCGCGCACACACACGAGCGCGCACACACACGAGCGCGCACACACACGAGCGCGCACACACACGAGCGCGCACACACACGAGCGTGCATGTGTGGTCAGTGGAGCGTGTAACCTCACGTGGCTCTGACCATGTGATGATGTGAAATATTGAACAGGCGCTGACATCAGCCCAGTGTTCAGAGTTTGTGGATCAGATAAAACCTGATTAAAACCAGTTTAGATCCACACACTGGATTTAATCCTAAATCTGGATTTAAATTGTGCAACTCCACAGCTGTAAACAAACACAGACTCTCTAAGTCCAACTGTGCTCAAAGGCACAATGGCACACAGCCACTTCGGGTCAGATTGAGGGTCAGAGAAAGTAACTCCTCTGTAAAATAAAGTGTTCAATGTTTGTAAGATAAAGTGTAATGTGCTAAAATCAGGAAACAGACACATATTATATAAATTAAATGTTTTTTATTACTATATTTCTATATTTTATTTTTACTTGTGCGTTCATGTTCTACATATACAGAGTGTCCCAAAAAACTGATGTCATTTCGCAGGCCTTTGGCAATTCTTGTTAAAATAACCTTAAATTTCCACAAAATGTACAGAAACAGATCAAGATTTTATATTTAATTTTTTATTTTTATTCTGTTTTCAGACCATGTCATTTCATTTGTTTGCATCTTGGAATCTTCTCGCACATAGTGACTCAAAACTCTGCAGTAAATGACAGTTTGAGGAAACGATAGGAAATGAAACTTGATCGTCTGGAGCTCCTTCAGGCTTCAAAAGCAGATGACAAGCGAAATTGTCAAGAATTCTGTGTTGCCATGTTACAGAAACTTGAAGAAACACCAAACCGTCGTTCGAGGAATGTGGGTTTCCAAACTTGTTCTCCTTATGGACTTCATGGGGCTTCGCAAGAGTTTTTCATGAACTTCCTCTTGCTTCTTTTCTGATGTTGATGTTGGTACCAGATTCTTCCTCTTTTATATTTTTGATACCAAGTCCAAATTTGTTTTTCCAGTTGGTGAAGTTTTTACAAAAGTTGCGTTGATGCTGCACAGTCTTGGGTGAGTGTAAATAACTTCTCATTGGGAGACTACGACCCACTGATGAGTGACACATGAGACTTACTGGAAAAATGGACATCATCCTTATCAGTGATATGTCGAATCAACTTAATTAAGACAACGATTTTACCAACATTTTTATTTTTGTTTCAGTCACTTCTTCTCCCATTTCCCAAATATTTTTTAGAGAAATGAATAGTGCAGTTTGTAGATTTATCTGGAATAGTAGAAGATCTTAGACTTAAATAACCGTACTTGCTGTATGACCGGGGGCTTACAGATGTTTTCAGTGGTGTTACTGGTTCACACAATCCTATTTCTATTGAATAATCATCATCTAAACTGCCTTTACTTATACTCTGCAGATATTAAGACATTAAAGAAAAAAACAACTAAACCTTTTCTTACAATTAATATTTGGTTTAAAGCTCATAAACATGTTGGTGATAAACCCTCCATCTCTCAGTTCTGTCCTGTTAGAGGTAAAACCCGGTTTACTCCTGCAGGGCAGACGGTGGTTTCAAGACCAAGTCTGCAGAAAGCAGCAGATTTATATCTTCAAGGTAATTTACTAACATTTAATGACATCTGTTTGAAATATTCCATCACCAAAAAACATTAAAAAGAAAAATATATATCTGCTGTTGAAGCATTTTGTCTCATCAGCTGTGACATTGAGCACGAGCCGCCGTCCTGCCTGGAGGACATGGGACAGGCCAAATTTCCACATTATGTCTCATGTATCTCATGACAAAGAATCCAGCGTGGAAGAATGAGAGCGTGAAGTTTAGATATCAGGGAGGATATTGATAAGGCAGAGTGAGCAGCTGCGTGTTTAAAAGCTCAAACACAAATGATCAACACAAGATTCAAATGATTACGACATAAATGCTTCATGAGAAGATTCATAACCCAAGAAAAACTCAATAAATGATCCTCGGACTTTCCAGATGCGTGTTCATGTTTCACTTATAGAGGCTAACTCTAACTCTAACTCTCTAACTCTAACTCTAACTCTAACTCTAACTCTAACTCTAACTCTAACTCTAACTCTAACTCTAACTCTAACTCTAACTCTAACTCTAACTAACTCTAACTCTAACTCTAACTCTAACTCTAACTCTAACTCTAACTCTAACTCTAACTCTAACTCTAACTCTAACTCTAACTCTAACTCTAACTCTCTAACTCTAACTCTAACTCTAACTCTAACTCTAACTCTAACTCTAACTCTAACTCTAACTCTAACTCTAACTCTAACTCTAACCCTAACTCTAACTAACTCTAACTCTAACTCTAACTCTAACTCTAACTCTCTAACTCTAACTCTAAACTCTAACTCTAACCCTAACTCTAACTCTAACTCTAACTCTAACTCTAACTCTAACTCTAACTCTAACTCTAACTCTAACTCTAACTCTAACTCTAACTCTAACTCTAACTCTAACTCTAACTCTAACTCTAACTCTCTAACTCTAACTCTAACTAACCCTAACTCTAACTCTAACTCTAACTCTAACTCTAACTCTAACTCTAACTCTAACTCTAACTCTAACTCTAACTCTAACTCTAACTCTAACTCTAACTCTAACTCTAACTCTAACTCTAACTCTAACTCTAACTCTAACTCTAACTCTAACTCTAACTCTAACTCTAACTCTAACTCTAACTCTAACTCTAACTCTAACTCTAACTCTAACTCTAACTCTAACTCTAACTCTAACTCTAACTCTAACTCTAACTCTAACTCTAACTCTAACTCTAACTCTAACTCTAACTCTAACTCTAACTCTAACTCTAACTCTAACTCTAACTCTAACTCTAACTCTAACTCTAACTCTCCTGCAGGATGACGGCTGCTCTGTCATGTGCATTTTTAATTATTTTTACTTGTTTTAATTTCAACCATTCTCATTATTTCTTAGATATTTTTATGTATATGTATATTTGCTGTATATGGTTTACTGTTTGTACCATTTGTTATTTAATTATAAATCTGTAATAATAATAATAATAATAATAATAATAATAATAATTATTATTATTATTATTATTATTATTAGGTTCGGCCCTTGTCCAGTGTTGGGCTTTGTGTGGGTCTTAGTCCAGTCTTGGATCTTGATCTGGTCTTGGGTCTAATGACTGTGAGAGGTTCTGGATTAGATTAGTCCTGATCCTGATCCGGGTTAAACTGGATTATCCTGGATCAGATCTTTTTAATGGGATCAGAGATTTCTCTGCGGCGCCTCAGAGTCTCACCCAGAACCAGACTAGGACTAAGACCGGACCAGAACCTGACCAAGACTAAGACTGGACCAGAACCTGACCAAGACTAAGACTGGACCAGAACCAGACCAGGAATAAGACCAAGACCAGAAGAAACATTATTTGTATATATATATATATATATATATATATATATATATATATATATATATATATATATATATATATATATATAGAGAGAGAGAGAGAGAGAGAGAGAGAGAGAGAGAGAGAGAGAGAGAGAGAGAGAGGGGATGTATAAGAAGAGAAGATAAAGCAGAGGAGCAGAAAGAATAAGGAGGGAAAGAGGAGAGAAAAAGAGGAGGAGGAGAGAGAAGGAGAGAGGGGGGGGGTTGCAGTACAGGGCGCTGATGACATCACCCCTCCCCCCTCCTCTCCCTAAAGAGGCGGAGCTTTAGGCAATGATGTCATGTTACCGTGGAAACAGCCTTCATCCAGATTTACACCGATTCACACCGGGACCAAAGAGAACGAGGAGACGAGGAGAAGAGGAGACAAGGAGACAAGGAGTCAAGGAGACGAGGAGACGAGAAGACACTGGGACCAGAGAGAACGAGGAGCAGGTGCAAATAAACCAACAAGGAGATGAGGACACGAGGACACGAGGACATGAGGAGACAAGAAGACGAGGAGACAAGGAGATAAGGAGACAAAGAGACGAGGAAACAAGAAGAGGAGGAGACAAGAAGACGAGGAGAGAAGAAACGAGGAGACAAGGAGACAAGGAGACGAGGAGACGTGGAGACGAGGAGACAAGGAAACAAGGACAGAGGAGACGAGGAGAGAAGGAGACGAGGAGAGAGGAGACAAGGCACGAGGAGAGGAGGAGAGGGGAGACGAGGACACAAGGAGACGAGGCGTAGACAAGGAGTTAGCAGGTAAGGAGATGAGCAGGACAGACATGACACGAGCTGCGAGGACACGAGGCAGAGACTGAGACACACCTGCCGCAACCTGAAGGAAACGACAAGAAGGAAGTAGGACGCAGCCAGGAGATGAGGAGAGGACACAAGGAAGCAGTGA